GACGTGTTAACAAAGAACTTTGCGAGGCAAATTCCGGCCGTCCGAAACGAACTGAAAGTTGTTTCTTACGCAATTGTAAGTTTTCTCTTACGCTGGCGCGTTCATCCATAACGGTGGTTGTGCTGAAACTGCAAACAGTAATGACCTTATCGGGGTCATCTTCCCTTCTATGATTCCTCTTTGAATAGTAAAAAAAAGAATTTCTTTAACTTTGCTATTCAGGCCTCCCGGGCGATTGTGCCGAACTGAAAGCTTATAATAACAACGTGAATAACGTTGATGGTAATTACACGGTTTTGGTAGCAGGATTTCGTATTAATGTTTACTGTCATCAAATGGAAGAGACACTCCCGAAGACATACATCAATGTGAACAGTGAAACAAATTTCGCTGAAATCTATGGGAAACGGTTGGAAATCCTTGTCTCTCTTGTTCAACACTCAATATATCGGATCCCTTTCACTGTTTTTCATTAATATTTGCGGTCCCATCATAATGCTGTCCGTGTTCAACAGTTCTCAGTTCTTTCATCCATTCAGCTCTCCTCAATTCAAGATTCAGATGCTTACTTGTGTGTTATCCGTCTGAAATGTTTTGAAATGATTCGCCACAAAAATTGAGAAGTGTCCATTCAATGCAGTTATTCGTATCGCAAGTTCATTTGAGTGCAATAAGAACCGAATTCGTCTAGAATGATCATAACCACTGAACATTTTCAGACTGCTTTATCCGTTCACATGTCCTCACAACGGACGACGAAACGATTCGTGTCTATGCACAGACGATGGCAGTGCCATGGCCGGCCTGTCGAGATTCTCGAAAGTACGCGTCGATTTGCATAACATGAAAATTAATGGTATATTCTTCATCACTCATTTCATCTCGAATCCTCATTGTTCATATGAATGTGCTTTCTTCTATCCACTGTCAACTCATCGCTCACTGTTGTTGTAATCAACAAGCAAACTTCTGTTGCAGATCAACTGTTTCCGATAGAAAATACATTAATAAATTGAACAAAATCCATTACATAGAAATTAACACATTATTGTGAAAGATTTCATTGATTACGTGAACAATGCTCAATTGAGTTTGCCAAATATGCATGCGGACTCTTGAGTAGCGATGCTTCAAAATGGAAGATGGGGGAAGCTTTTATGAATATTACAATTCGATTGGAGCATTTATGCAGTTTTTGAGGAGATTAGTCGACAAAATGTGCATTAATTTCAGTTGGTGATCACACTTTCGCAGAAACACCGTCCGGAATTGAAGTGCCGTATGGCACAGCTGGCGATTGTTACAGCGCTGTTCAGTGTCCACAGGTTCTGTGATTGATGCAAACATCTTCTTTCATTCTGGTTTTACGTTTGAGGAATTGCTGAAACGAATATAGGCTGATTTTATTTTGAATTCAGTCATGGCGCTGGAATCAATCCGCATATTAAACATTTGGATTGATCGATATCTCACATGCTCCTTTAAAAATATGAAGCAGCTCGCAGTCATATCCACTTTTCGCTGGAATTATAAATAAAAGTGTTAATGCGCTTCAACGTTTTGCTTTACTGTAGTATGGAGGTTGTTCTTATATACATTTTGAAAAATAACATATGGACGATAAGCTTCAGGGTCTATTCCAAGTAGATCTGAGAGGGACGGGTCTCCGAGTGGTGGATGACCTCAGATGGGTCGATCAGGGACATCGAGCCTGGTCTAATATCGAACGATATGACGTAAGCTGTTTTTATTTAACATACTAGCCTGACAGTTCAGTAATATAATGACAAACAAACAGAAATAGGAGCGAAAAACGACCCATATTCTGAGGGTTTGGTGTGCTCTCTGCAAATGTGTCTAATTTCTTGAGTTTAGAATGTCCGAGTTTAGAAATTTCATCGAGCATTGACTAGAAACTATGGTCAGAACTTTTTATTGCAGAACAATGCACGAATATTTGGCCAATGCGGTGGCTACTGTGGCCAGTGCAGTCCAGATAAGTACAAAGGTCTTGTGATCGAGGTTGATCAAAAACAAAAACCAAGTATTGGTGTTGGATAATAGGCAAACGAATCAAACCAAATTCATTAATCGTTTGAACGAACGGCTGATTGTACGATTGAGGCGTNAATCGCCAAACACATCATTCAGCCGATTGCCTCAGTCCACCATCCACTAATATGTCAATCAGCCAATAACTCAGAAATATGGAAGTTTGATTGTAATTTATCGACCATCTTCAAACAGACTTGTTGCAGTAGCGCTCAGTTTTACGTTTCCTCTTTCAGCGTGCAGTGATCAACGTCTGTTTCGTTCATTTTAATCGAAAATGATTGCACCAAATAGGTTTTCGATGCGAAATCGACTTTTCATAGCTATTCTTGAAAATAATTTGCACAGAGCTTATCGCTGATAGGTTTTTGATTATTGGTACCGGACAGAATTCATTTGTTGATCTGACATCGTATTTTGTTTTTGTTTTCTTGTGCCGAAACAATCGCCCATGAAATTGGTACCTGTGACATTTTTTGGGACTCTTATCCTGTTTTTTTTTGCAAAATGATCGGTGCTTCGTAGCTGAACTGAAAAATGCTCTAAAAACGAAAAAAATTGCAGCGTTACTGTAGTCTTGTTTGCATTTCATTTAAATTTCCAATCAAAGTTTATATTCGAAAATTTCGTTCGCTCAATTGCTGCCCAATTGGTTTCTGTTCAGTTTTATGTAAAAATAAATGATAATTATTATTATTGTAATGTTGGTGTATACAATCGAAATAAGTTATGATTTTTTAAATGAAACATTTTGTTCAATGATACAAGATCTTGTGTAGTACATTTATTTTCTAGCTGATGCGAGGTATTTGAACGAATTGTCAACGATACGCGCGATATGCATTGATATTTCATATCTTCATTTTACCTTCTTTTTCGATTGCTCTTTCATTCTACGTTCATCTTTTTTTNCATGAGTGTGTCAGCAAACGATCGCTTTATAAACGTCGTCGTCATCTGTCCACTCAAAAAAAGTATCGCATTTCGGCCTTCCATGATTCATAACATCCCGAAATGTGCCCATGAAAATTCGCGTTGCTATGATGCATTTTGCAAACAATATCAAAGTTGTCATTGACCAGAAAAAATAATTTAATTGTTATGCAAAAAAATAATATGCAAAAATCTTAGGTTCCTTACAATCAGCATAAAGAAAAGTATTGTTTGAAATACACTGAATCAATAGAGCTTTGAATATCCTCAGAATTTTGTTTGAAAATTTCACGGCAATAATGGTTATTGTTGTTGTTATAAACGGTTTACTCGGTGTTTTTGCAGTTGGTATTTCAGATGTAATATCACTATTTCCGTTGTTTTTTTTTTCAGTGATTGATTCTCAACGCAGTTAAAGCATTTTGAAACGAATTTTCGAATTAACTTCTCAGAGAATATGCCATGAATTTGTGTCAAATTTTAACCGAATTAAAACTGAACTGTAACGTCGAATCAATCACATTTTGTTCTTCAGCGGATCAGTTCGTATTTTCAGCGTGTCTCATCTGTCCTTTGTTCACAATCACCTGTCAATTTGTTGAAAGTTGCTGCCGTTCTGAAGCAAGCAAACTGCCCTCGTATTACTGAATGAATAGCGTTTATTTGTGAATTCATCAAGTGTTTGTTCAAATTCATTGCTTTGATGATAGCATGGTTACCAGATTCGTACGAGCCTTACCCTCCCGCACGAATCACTTGTACCTAATTCGAAAATGAACTCTATTGAGCAACATTCCTACTGAATTCGATAAAGTTTAATGAGTCTCATACTCAACTTTTAGCGCAATCGTATTCGTTTCTAAATTGATGAACGTTACAGGAAATCTGGTGACCTATCGTAATGTTGACAGAACAGTTGCTGTCAATTACGGGCATATCCACGAGTCATTTAGCTGACCATAATTCTCATTGTATCATTTCCGAATGCTTTTTTTCGATCCGTACCTCAAGGTACGCAACAACATTGTCACATTTCGGTGCTCTGATGCTGCTTCTCACTACTATTCGTCCATTGTACTGAAAATATTTTCTGCTCATTATGATCGTTTTCGTTAGTGTTATCGCTGCGCTTATTGTTTTGATTACTACTGATTGATGTTATCTTCCCTTTGGTCACCATTGTTATTGATTTGTCGTTGTGATCACTGCTTTTGTCTGTGCTTTATTACAAAATTTATAATGATTGTACATGAAATGTTTATTGTGTGAGTGAGATGGATTGTTAGGAGGTTATGATTTGAAGTGATTTATTTCGTTTCATAGATGCCAATTGTTTGTTTTTTAAATACTGTCATCGTTATCGCTCTTATTGGTGTTGTTGTCATTAGATAAGTCAATCGCTTTTGATCACCTTCAAAAGTATTTTCAAGCGACTTTTCTTATTTCTCTGTGCTTTTAATCATTATCGCATTGAAGTCAAAAATGCTGGAAAATTTTTGTTATTACGATGATTCTTAATTTTTACGCGAAGCTATCGCACTGTCTGAGAATAACTGAAGAATTTTCAAATTAGAAAATAGTCGTTCGATGGAGCAAAACCCGCCGATATTATGCCAATACGCTTATGGAATTTCTTTTGTGTCATTCAGTTGAAAACTAACTGAAAAGTGTTAAGTGAACGTGTCCCTGCTCATGAACATCACCATTTCTGATTGCTTTAAGCGTAATGACGATTCCTCGTTGGCAGCAAAACTATTTCATATACTTTATCAATATTTTGTGTACGTATTTTGCATCAAATTATTTCATTGTCACTGCCACCTTCAGCGCATTTATCGTTTCTTTCTTCGTTGTTATTGCTATATTTTGTTGTATGTTCCTCATTTTCATCAAACAATACTTCATTCGGATTGTACTTTAAACAGTTGTTCCTCTAATAATAATAATGACAACATTTAATTTCTGTACTTGACTGATTGATTCAGTGATTGATCCGTGTGTTCGATGCCCTATCTATTTGGCTCGAACAGACGTCGTCAATCCATCCATCCATCCAGTTGCGTTCTATACTCGAGCTTCGTCTTTTCTATCGCAATACAAAACGCACTATTAAACCCGTATAATGTCAACTTTTTGCTGTATGTTGCTCTTCGTCTCTATGTTCAATTTGATTGTGTTCTTCAATAATGAATTTTATTTCAGTTGTTTTAAACTCTTCACTTCGGCACTTCACTTCTTATTAGAACGATAATAGGAATCCCAAAAGTAACTGCAGCTCACCATTCAAACCCTTCGGATTCACGTCAGAAAAGCGCGCATTGCGAAGATAAATAACATGCCATTTGAAAGTCGAGCCGTTTGTTCATCAGATGATTTAATTAAAGTTTATATGATAAAATCAGAGAACAAAAACAAACAGTGACCGAAGCGTTGGATGGAAAAAGAAGACATCTACTCCGACATAACGATCATTATTGGTGACAGAACATGCACGAACAATGGTAAAAGCCTAGCATAATACGCTCAATGCGGTTTTTTGTAATCTATACACGATGTGAGTGAAAAACCAATTGAATGGCATCAGAAATTTTTCGAAAAACATTCGTGGTCAAGTTAAGACTCAACAATATTGATCACGCTAAAGATCGTCTATAGTTGGTGATTGATTAACAGCAACAAAACTACTAAACAATCAAATCGAAAATGCACTATCAATCAACCAATTCACAATCGATATCCGATCCATCTTTTGAACGATTAGTTGAGTGCATCATTTGTTTTAAGCTAATTTCTGGTTTTACGCAACGCTCGCAATAATAACAAACTATAACAATCCATACTAAAGTTTGTCAAAATAAAACCACAATTCTTTGCATCAAATCAAATCTTAAACAAAACCGGCATCAGATATATAACAAGCAAGATTCTCATTTNCAAGCAACTCCTCAACAATCTCTTATTCGCTGAATACACTCAAAAGTTACGTTACACATTCAATGTCAAATCACCCATCAACAATGTAACACTACTAACAAACACACAGCCACTTGTGAATACTTCTGTTCCACGAAATACGTACATTTATAATCAAGAAAATATATAATTTGAAATTGGCAATCTAAATTAATCTGAATCCTCCAATTCGAATCCATAATTGATCAACTGTGATGCTGCTGCCACGGGATCTGCCGGTAATTCTCGTGTTAGCAATTTTTGTGATCGAATGGTTTTTGGAAGATCAAATGCATCCTCATCATCCATCGAGGTCGGTGATGAAGACTGACGAACGAGAGCTCGCTCATCTGTCTCAGCAAAGCTTTGTGCAGTTTGCACTGGACGTTGTACAACGATCGACTGAACGACTGTACCTTGCGATGCAGTTGCAGTGTCGGCCAGTAATGACAAACCATCCTCACCGCCAGCAGTTCGTTGTTGTTTTGCGAGTGGCTGCACGTCTTGCTCAGTTCTCACCACTCGACTCACACTCGCATCACTTCTCGCAACTACTGACGGCAATATTTTCGGCTTTGTCGAAGCACCAAATGATGACGGATTAGTGCTCATTGTTTGCTGTTCGTTGTTCGTATCATATTGCGTATAATCGGAACTGAAAATTAAGATCACATCAAGAAAGCATTATGATTTATATTTTCAATGACATGTGAGGAAATCTAAACGAACGAATACGTACGACAGTGAATAAAAGAGACTGATAAGAAGGGAAATTCAAAGTCATACGTATGCAAATTACTCACCGTTCGGCTGTCGTTTTTTGACCGATAAATGATGACGTGTTCGGATGATAAGCAGTCGGGAAACGACGATGAACTGACGCGATATTAACACGCTGTGATGGGACTGATACAGACGAAGATGGTCCAGGTGCGCATTCGACAGAAACTTTTCGATGTGATGAATGATCGATTTGTTTTGGTGGTTGATGAAAAACGCTCACAGATGGTACAACTAAAATATCAAATCCTCAACAACTAATCCCTTTTAAATTAGTCGTCGAAATGTTCACATTAATATTTTCCAATTCAATTTCTAGAACTATTCGGAAGCGATCTCACTGATGAAAGTTTCCATTTGAAAAAACAAAAAGAAAAAATTTGAAGGCACATTCATTCGTGCGAATATTGACAATGAGCTCTTTTTCGAGCAAACCTCAAATTGATTCATTTTGCTATCAACTGAATTTAATTATTCACCTCAGTTCTGAACCAAAACTTCTCACCAGATTGTTATTGTCAAAAAAGCTTTCCGCTTCATACACACATCATCAGTACAAAAAAAACGATCAATCTAGAAACAGTGAATCGATGTGTTCGCTACATACCATTAACAGTACCAAAATCTGCACTCAGTTCATTCTGCACCGCATCTTCGTCTTGAGTATCTTGTGATGACTTCGAATCATCACCCAACGACGACGCTATACTCGCAACTGCAGCCGCCGTTTCCGATGATGGTTGCTGTTGACGTTGACCGGAAACTGGATGACGTGTCACCGACGGAATGCGACGTACCGATGTCCTTGCGGAATGTTGCTGCTGCNACGAACATTCACTTCAACGATTCGCAGTCAATATCTTGTCGCTAGCAGTAACGAGTATCTCGATGTATAACTATTCATTCCACAATCTCAGGTACTACCCCACAACAATTATTATCATCCACTTCATTTGGTAGGAGTTATTAAGGAGAAAACGATCTTTATGAAGAAAAGAAATTAATTCGTAATAAGCGCTGCAGAAAATTTTGGAGGAATTCATAAAACCACCAAAATTATCTCTTCAAATCAGATAGAGACGGGAAGAAAGCTCTTCAAAACTTACTCGAGGCATAATGTAACTCCGATAATGAGTAGTCGGTTGAGATGAGAAGTAAATGTTTGGTGAAGGATCCAATGGTACAAGCCGAGAACGAGCACTGCCTAGACAATATGCAATGAAACAATAGGTTCAAAAAACGAAGAAAAACGCACAAAAAATGATAACATAAAAACTGAAACATAAACAGACGAATGTACTAACTCGGGACGGCGGTTGGATATACCCTACTACTGTCTTCACGTTGATGCCGATAGTCGTTGTAAACGTTTCGTGAGATTGGCACACTGAAACGAAATGAAAATTAATCCTATTCTTCAGTTATCGTTCAAGTGTGAAAATTTGAAACTGCATAAAGTTTCAACTGAAAAGTCATAAACATTCGCTGATAATACATTCAGTTCACAACTTGAGAAGATGCAAAAAATAGCATACCGATCAGGCATTTCGTATGTTGTTGGGTAGGTTCTATAGGTGTTCTGCACACGTGCCGCACTACCAGGTTGTTGCTGCGGACGCCAACGTTGTGCACCAACACTCATCAAATTACTAGAACCTATAAGAACAACATCTAGAAATGAAACGAATTTTTTTATCACTCCAATATAACGAACCACTTGATTCGAACACAAAAAAATCTTCATTCATAGTGAAGAAAAGTGTTCATCCATCAAATATATGTTCATCAGGTGAGAGCAACTCACTCGAATACGGAGAATACGACGAAGTCCGTTGGTGTTGTTGTTCACTGCTGAATTGAGCCGCTGCATTCTGACGCATCAACTGCTGTGAAAAGATCTGCCGATTTCTCACAAGAGCCTGAAATGGACATCAGAATGAATTCAGCGATTCCAAAAACAAATACATCTATTCATCCAAGAACAAAGTAAACGAACGAAGAGCAACGTCTCATTCTATCAAAAACAACAACACAAGCAAACGAATCAATATAGATATTTGTGAAAAATATCATAAAGTAATTTTCCGAGAACAATTTCAAACCAACTGGCTGAGTGGATTTTTGCGGAAGAGCGGCACCACGATTGCTCTGAGGTAACGATAGCGTACGGAGCTGTTGCTGATCAGCTGGGGATGGAATACTGCTGCTAGGAGTAATACTAGTGTTACTATTGTTTGCCGCAGAAGTAGGAGTGTTAACCAGAGATATTGTACTCGGATCTGTTAATCGACCGACGGATGGAGTGCATGCGGGCGATGATGAGGTAGTAGTGGTATATGCACTTGATGTACCACCACTGATTACCGATCTGAAACTACTCATTTATGATAGAAGCACAGAAATTTCACTTGTTTGTGCGATATTCAACCAAATTTGCCATATCACATTAAAAA